GTTGCTAAGAAGAACATTATTTTGTGTATTTGGTGTAATGAAATGTGTTTATGCGGTTTAAAGTTAAAAAAACACATTATTTTCCACATACTGTACATTATTGTTTCTCCTCTATGCCCCGCCTTTTTGAAACGCGTTGATTTTTACAAAGCTCATCGGTCTGAAAAAGTGAGGTGTGCTGTGATTGGCCAGCTATTCAGTGCGTTGTGATTGGCCGAATACCTCAAGCGTGAGACGGAAATGTTACGCCCCTCACATACTGTTGATGCCGTGTCCGGCCGGAGCGACGAGACATAAACATTAAAACCCATTACAAACGAGGCATTTGTTGCATCCAGTGGGGACATAATTACTGATTATAATGACTTATACTGTCTTTTTACGCGTTGCGTTGCATTGCATCGTGCCGCGTAAACATAAAACCCTGTCTGTATTTGTGATCAGAGAAATGACAAACAACAAGTGCTACTCTACTGCCCAAAACTCGCGTTTGAATCATCAGTGGCAAATCCTTTAAATGAAAACGTACTTACGTGAGTCAGAACTGCCGGCATTTTAGTCTAACGTAACTCTCCCAGGATCAGTAAACAGTCCTCCATAAAATGTGCTGCACACATCTGGATATTTGGGTTGAACTGTTCTGGAACAGTGTTGTAAATACAACTTAACCACTGATTTCTAGTCGTGTCCTCTTTTGGAAGGCCAAACAAAGTAGTTTTGCTTTCACAACGAAAAACACAGCGGCCTAGCGTGAGGGGAAGCTAGCGGGAGTGAGCTGAGGCGGCGGGGTCGAGAACGGCGGTCCCGGCGGTCCCGGCGGATCCGACGAAGGAGCGGTGAAAGCCGATCCGGCGATCCACAGCGTGCAGTTGATGTATTTCCTCAGCGACCAGCACGGATCAGCTCTAGGTATGACGAAGCGGATATCGTCCTCTTTTGGAAGACCAAAGTAGCTTCGCTTTCACAACGAAGCACACAGCGTCTTCAGGACATGGCGGCAGCGGCAATAATACTACAGTGAGAATAAAAGTTATGCCTTCTTTCTTTGCGTGAACATTTGGGCGGTGTTATGCAAATCTTCCCACATAGTGAGGTAGATATGTGGGGGCGTGTTCGAACGAGCCGTTTTAGGGGGGTGTGGCTGACTCTTAACTTTTATAAAGAATATCTCTTTGGATTTGAGACTTTAGTCTTTGCAACTTTACAGATCTTCTTTATGCACCAAGAGCTTGTAACACTCCAAAGAGAAAGGAAAAAATGAAATTGCATCATATGACCCCTTTAAAACATTTATTTTACTCTTTAAATCCAACTGAAATATATAGAGGCCTCAATGAGCTTCTGTTAAGCGCACTGATAAATTGGTATCATGAAGAGGACAACCAACATGATTTAGTAATGACTTTCCTGTCCATTTTTAAGTCTGTGTGAAAATCAGTGTAGTCCATGTAATGACGTACTTTGTTATGGTTAAAGAACTTGGTTGACTGACAGAGACCTGCTTTTCAAGTCCAAATATGCAATCATGCATCTTTGTTTTGCCCATAGAAGCTGATTTTCCTTTCTGTTTTACTCATAGTGAGTGTTGTTCATCGGTCTTACATACAATTGTACATAAAGTGTGACTTTTTGTGTACTACTACAGATACTACAGATTATTACATGCAATTTCTGTAAAGCATAAAATAAACTATTATGTAAAAAAAGTATTTATTTATATAAAGGCTATTATTTATTAATTATACACTATTACCAAATAAATGCAAATCTGACTGAACTAATAATCACACTTACATTTAACTGAAAAAATTAATGTTTGAATTGAATTTTGTTTGCATCACTGAAACATTATTTTCCTGTTTAACACTGTTTAAAGCTGTTTTAACACAATCTGTATTATAAAGTGCTATATAAATAACTTGACAGGCAATGTTCAATATATTCACCCAGAAATCCACAGAGCTACAGCCTGCTATAAGCACAACAGGTGTCTGCTGTTACTGTTGCTTCACTTTCCAAGAACTTCTTTAGAACTGTAGAACTGGAAATTTCACTGTACAGTCCTGAAGAAACGTATTACGAGTACTGTTGTATTTACTAATACGGATTAGCTTTGGCTCTGTATATAGCCGTGCACTATGCTGTATATGGAACAGTGATTTGATCAAAGCATACCGTTCACAGCATTTAATGGCATTATAGAATTTGAAATATTTTCCTATAGAAAAAAAGACTTGAATTGTCATAACAGCTAACAAAACAACGCTAATTGACTACTGCCTAATATTCACGTCTTCTCTGAAATTGGCTTGTATACATGTCAAAAATCTTTATAATTAACTGGATATTCCAGTCTCTTCTGATAGACAATAGTGGCCACATTTTTCCTTCTTGAAAACATTCCAAAAAAACAAGTTCAAGAGCCACCTTTGTATTTTAATTGTCATTCTGCAGTTCTTGAAAGAAAATGTGTTTGCAAAGAATGATTGATTGTTATGGAATGTTTAAGGAAGGGTTATATGGTAAATGGAGATTATATTTAATCATCTTTTGGAGGTTATATATCATCATCTTATTGTAGTCTCAGAGGTATTTACACCTATTAAAAACACACTTTAATTGTCAATGCTTTTCAGTGCACTGTATTTAAATTCATTAGATAACCCAGGAAATAGCTAAACATTATTTTGGGTGGGATTTTTGAAAATTCTGAACTGTGTAATACATAACACCTGTTAGAAGCCCAAAGAGTCCTATTTTAATCACTATTTTCTAACTTAAGTCTATTTTATCTAACCTAAATAAATATGTTTGTAAAACACTGTTGTGGAGAAAGTATGGCCTTGTCAAGTTCATGGCACGAGTTTCTCATTCTTGTCCTTTATTTCTGTTTCTTGCTTGGCTTCCTCTGGAACATTCCTGCTGACAGATGGGCGGAGCGGTTATCATATGAGACTTACAGAGATCTCTGTGGGAAACAAGTCAGTTCAGACATGAATCACGACGTGCCTTCACAACATTGAAGAGGAGCATTAGCAAAGAAAATGGTAAGGAAATAATGAAATACATTATGAAATACAGTATTCTGTCCTTTATGTTGCTTCAAATAAATATGTCTTGAATGTTTTCTTTTATTTAATTAATTAGACCATTCAGTTTCATTTAAAAAAAATAAAAATAACAGGGTTGCGATTGTAAATATAATTTTTGTGATAAAAGGCATTTTGATTTCACATGTGATCTTTTCTTACCAAACTACTAGGCAACAACATCCTGTAATAAATGTGGGTTGATAAAAAACTACTATGGACCATTACCGTATGTATTTATTTCAGATGAGTTATGGACTTTTAATGTGCATAGAAATATGTTTTTCACCTGTGAAGTTATGTCTAAATGCTCTAACATACTCCAAGCTCCATCAATGCATAACTTCTTACACGACTCATTTTTTAAACTTAAGGTTTAAATGTAAGTGTGACTATGAAGAAGAGCCCACCCCTTTTTCTCTGGTAAGAATTCCAAAATAATAATCATTTTTAAATAGTTTTATTAATGTTTTGAATTTGTTTATATTTTCTGTTTATATTTTAGTACATTTGTTGTGTTTTTGTATTTTTTATGCGTTTTTTTATGTATGTAGTTTTCATTAACTTTTATTTAGTTGTACTTATTTTAGTAAATCAAGATAAACTAAATGAAAATGAGAAATGTTGCCTTGGCAAGTAACTGAAATAAAATAAGTTATATATATATATATATATATCAGTTAAAGTTAACTAAAATAACCCTGGATGAGCTTGAGCATAAAACCACTTTTACATTTCCTTAATGTTCTCTTAGATGAGCAATGCGTTGGTTGCATCACACAGTAACAGCAGCATTCAGAGGTCAACGGTCACACCAAGAAACGGGGCAATGACTCGACATCACAACGATTTGGAGCGAGGCATTCAAACATATCAACGTGTAGTCATGAAGAATGGCAAACCTGTTGAAACCGAAGAATTCAGGTTTTATTCAACTGATTAAAGGATACTTGAAAAATACAGAAGAGCAGTTTTAATGTAATTAAAATGTTGTGGGGTCTTTCTGTGCTGAAATATAGAATACATCAAATTATGATGACTGTTGTCTCAATGCTTTATCTAAATTAGATGATCATGCTGTCTACTAACTATTTGCTTTACTGTTCTTGTACATTGCTTTACTATACTTGTACTTTTACTTTACTTGTCAGAGTTGATAAGATATCTACTGTGTATTCTCAGTGATTTCTTTTGTCAATAAACTGAGTTGGAAGTCCATAATATGTTAACACATTGCCATTAAAACTGAAAGTTAACTTTCAGAGGAACTGTGATATAGTATCTTCTTTCATGCACCCCAAATCCAGAACAAATCACTTCGCTGTAGCCTATTTTTGTGTTTTAATCTTTTCATACAGGTAAGTGTGATTGAGTAAGTCACCTCTATGATATACTGTTTATTCAAAAGTATGGTTCTTATGGTTCTGGTATTGACATGATACCATGATGGGGGAAAAACTGATCTCAATATTCCAAGACTGCACAGAAAACAAGAAAGCACCAAAATTATTTATTTACAAGCTATTCATTACAAGGAATTAGAGATGTGTGATGAATTATGGGAACATATGGGATGACAGGAAAATGCATAATTTCTTTACGTGACACTATTTTTAGAGGCCTGCACCACAATGTAAATGTGTGGAACTGCCTGACTGTCTGAAACATCCCAAAATATTTATTGTTCAAGCAATGAACAGAAAGTAAAGTGTTTTCTAGTGTATTTGGTAAACACAAGAATAACATCCCTCATGTTATTATTCTGTAACTTCCTATAAGAGCTGTCTATACTGTAGGCCTACAAAGCCAAATAATTCACTTTATTTTCTAGGTTTATTTACTAATCTATAGCTATGAATATGAAACCACTCTTGTGTTTCCTCATATTTTTCTCGCAGTAATGCAATGGTTCCATCATACAGTAACAGCATGACTGTACCAAGAAATGGGTTCATGACTCCCCATAACAATAACATAGAGGATGGTTTTCAAATCGAACATATAAACATGCGGAATGGCCAAACGATTGAAGCAATCGATTGGGACTCAAATTATGAATGTCTCCTAAAAACTGTCATGGGACTCCATAATATGTCGTCGCTTAGTTGAACTTTCAGAAAAACTGCAATATAGCATCTTTATAACATTTTGTGTTTGTTTGTGTGTGTGTGTGTGTGTGTGTGTGTGTGTGCGCGTGCGTGTGTTAAGAAATTACAATAGAGGTGTGTGAGGAATTATGGGACCTCTGGTGGTGGAACTGAAAAAAATTAATGAGAGTGCATGTTTGCGTTAATAAGAGATGTATGAGGAAATATATGGAATGAAAAAAATTTCATATTCCAAGAAAAAAATAGAAATTAAGGGAAAAAATTGAATAAGTGGAACATTTTTTAATTCTGATTTCCAGACTTCACAGGGGGAAAGAATCATGGAAATTAGTAATAGTTAATTAATAGTTTCAAATTATGGGACCTCTGGTGGTGGAACTGAAAAAAATTAATGAGAGTGCATGTTTGCGTTAATAAGAGATGTATGAGGAAATATATGGAATGAAAAAAAATTCATATTCCAAGAAAAAAATAGAAATTAAGGGAAAAAATGGAATAAGTAGAACATTTTTAAATTCTGATTTCCAGACTTCACAGGGGGAAAGAATCATGGAAATTAGTAATAGTTAATTAATAGTTTCACTCTTCTCTTAAATATTTCATCTGCTAGATTTAGATTTTGCTCTTGGTGAGTGTATCTGAAAAGGTCCCGCAGCAATCTCTGTTGAATGATTTCCTGAAAATTTGAACCTGTAATCACTAAGAACTGAAAAAGCAAACTTCATTGGTCAAAATAGAGTGGGGATCCTGAAAGTAGGTGGCTAAAGAGAATTACTGCCATCAAAAGTCATTTTACGAACACTACTGGTGACTGATAGTTGGTGCCGTTCATCTGGTTTATTTTTTGTCTGTCTGACTGTCATGACATTGTTTTAAAGACTGGACAATTGCAGTGGTAAGAACAATTCATTAAAAATTTATATATCATTAATTCAGTCTGTTTATGAATTTGAATAGCTTGTAACACCAACTGCATTATTTTTTACACATACATTTACATAAATATAATGTCCTGATGCATATAGAAATTGCTATTATGTTTTTATGACAGAATAGGGTGGAATTAAATGTATCACTCATTAATTTTTGAGGTTTTATTAACTGCTTTATTTAAGTCTTTTTTTATGCATGCATGCTCTTGATTGCTTTACTAATATTTTAAAACTTAGTGAAAATACAGTTTCTGAATTGTTCGGTTAAATTTTTTGAGACTTTAAATGCTAAATATTTACAGTAGGTACTTTTATATATAATAATTTTTATTTGTTTTATTTTGTATTTTCTTTATTATTTTATATGTATTTTTTTATATTGTAAAGTGCTTTGATAAGCTCTTTTAAAGGTGCTTCTATAAAAAATAAAGTTATTATTGTTATTATTATTATTATTATTATTATTATGTTTTTAAGAAGAATTTACAGCAGTACTAATGCTCGTTACAAAAGTTATTGACACTGATTTGAGGCTTGTCAAAGAGGATAATGAAAACAAAAATCTCATCAGTGAGTATGTGCAGCATGAGCTAAGTCTCAAGACATCTTTCTGTCAGGAAAAACAAGAGGGGCAACATTTTTCACACTTCCTGTAACTAGTGCTTGAAGTTTAACACAGATGTTAAAATGCTCTAATCAGAGGGGTTAAAAACTAAACACAACATGACACAACACTTTGAAATGTAATGAATGTATAAAGAATATATTAAATCTCTAAAAGTGAGGTATAATTATTATGAATTCCTGCTGACCATTTACCTGTTTATTCGTTCAGAAATACATAATTTAGCTGGAACACTGAGGAAAAGACATAAATCAACGAGGAATCATTTGAATTACAATCAAATAATTAAACAATGAATTCATTTGAATTTTTGATTGTTTCTCCAGATGGCTTTTTCAACTGCTACTTATACTAAAAGGAAGCTTTGGAAAAGTGTATAAAGTAACCTATGGAAATACCCATGCAGCTCTTAAGAAGGTGCCTTCCACTGTTGTAACTAAACAGGAAATTCAGAAAGAGAAAAATATATATCAGTGAGTATTTGTGTATATGCTCAAAAAAAGATTTTGCTTATTACTGATTTACAATGAACTACAGCAACAGTTCTTACACATTTTTTGTTTACAAAACTAAATTGCAATCAATCCATAAAATTAATACGCTGCTTCATCCATTTGTGTTGAGACAGACTACATGAATCAGTTTTGTTTCGTGAATCAGTACTTCTTCCCAGCATGCTTTGTATGAGACTGGATAGGCAGAATAAATGTTGTGTTTTTGTGAAAAGTGAGAAAATAGAAAAAAATGAGAAAACAAAAATTGTTACTATTTAATATAATGTTTTGTAAGCCATTACTGCGTTACATTGCATATAGCCTAATAATAATAAAAAAGAAATTAGACATTTTAACCCACTGCCATTTGGGATATTTCATATTTGGCACATGTGATCTTATTGTAGGTCACTGAATCATTCCAATGTAGTAAAGCTCCTGGCTGAACCCTGGCTGGACTCTCAGGGCAAGTGGAATATCCCATTGGAATTTATCTTTGGGAAAACTCTGGAAAAGCTTATGTTCAGTTCACAATTATACATGGAGATACTGTTAAAAATGACATTTTAATTTATCTATTTTTATTTACTTTATGTTAAAGAATTTAACTGATAACAGATTTATCCTAAACTTAGTCAAACACTAGTTAAAAATCAAGAATGTTTAAATTCAATAAAGAAGAAAAATAAGCGTGTGTAGAAATGTGCTCCATGAACTAAAAAAATATAGTCATAGAGAATATCAGAAAATTGTCAGTCCTGTGTTCCGTGTTTTGTGTTGTCCTCCCCCACGCGCTTTCCATGACCCAGTTTTCCCTCATGTGCAATTATGTTTATTGATCCCAGGTGTTTCTCATTATGTCTTGTGTATTTAAAGTGTTCCCGGTTCTAAGTTCTTTGTTCGATATTGAATGTCATCTTCCTCGCTACGTGTGTGTTCCTGGTTTCCTTGTTCCGTTGGATGTTAATTAAAAGTATCTTTGTTTGAAGTATTCTCCACGTTTCCTCGTTCCTCGCTCAGCGCTCCCTCAGAGTAGCGGTGCATGACAGAATACCGAACCATAACAGTAAGCGGCGCCCCTTCTCCCCGTTTTGTTTTTGAAAGTATTTTGTTTTCTTGTTTTTTCCCCCGCGATTATGGAGATCGCCGCACACTTGATTGCCCTAGCCCATACAGATCTCCCCTTCGTTGAGTACGCCTGGGAGTTCTGCGGGCTCGCCGCGGCGATGGCATTAGATGACGATGCCATCAACTCTCTGTTCTGGCACGTGGACCTCCCAGAGACCACGGGACTAAGCTGGAGGGAAGGGATCCTCCGATGTCTGCAGAGCGTCCGGCCCCGAGCCAGAACCAGCCTCCCGTCAAGTCCGCCGTCCGCGGCATTCTCAAGCCCGCCGGCCGTTCCTCAGTCATGCCTGCCGGCCGCGCTGATGTCAAGCCCGCTGGTCACGCCAATGTCAAGCCCACCGGCTGCTCCGTTCACCTCTAACCAAAGAAGGAGGATGAGGAGAAAAAGAGCTCGCTCCAGTGTCGGCTCCAGCCCCAAAGCTCACTCCAGTGTCGGCTCCAGTCCCCGTGTTTAGCCCAGAGAGGGCTCCAGCCCCCGAGTTTAGCCCAGAGAGGGCTCCAGTCCCCGAGTTTAGCCCAGATAGGGTTCCTGTCCCTGAGTCTAGCCCAGAAAGGGCTCCAGATCCCATGTCCAGCCCATGGAGGGCTCCAATTCCTACGTCCATCCCAAGGAGGGCTCCAGTCCCCAAGTCAAGCCCAGGGAGGGCCACAGTTCCCGAGTTAAGCCTACGGAGAGCCTCTGAAACCGACATACTCCCCAAGGATTCTTTTGGGGGGGGTAGTAGGGGTCCGTCCGTGGAGGCCGGGCCGAGTGCTGAGGGCCTCCTAGACTCCCTACTCCGCCATGGCCTCCTGAACTGTCTGCTCCGCCATGGCTTCCTAGTCTGCCTGATCCGCCATGGCTTCCTAGTCTGCCT